AAACATTGAGCGGTTTTCATGCGGAATTCTAGACTTTTCATAGAATAAGATTTATGTTACCTTTGTTTCGCTACATTTTGGCAGAGGTATAGCTCAATTAAGCGTAATAGCAACCTTGAGTTTATGAAAGCAAGTTAAAATTAAATAGGTAGATGAATAGTTTTCCGATTGAGATAAATGTTTCAGAATTGATATCTTCAAGTGATATCATAGAATGATACATTTTCTTTCATAGAAACTTCACAACAAAGAGGTAGTATTTCTTTCACGCTTGAATCAGAAGAAAGTAATTAAGAATGGAATAGTACCAAGATAAGCAAAACAAAATCATCTTGATAGTTACACAATTGAATGCCATTGTCTATTACTCATTAGAAATAGCGTATCTAATAAAACACTCTTTTACTACTGTTAGATCAGAACAGACTTTTAGCGAAATCCCTTCGGAATGAAAATGTGAAACACGAAAGAATCAATGTAATTCCTAACGTTGCAGTCTGAGAGAAAAATAGAAATTGGATATTCACGTTTCCAGATTTCTACTTAAGCACTCACCAAAAGTCGTGTTTCTCACAAAACTTACAATAGATGTGACTACACAAATTATTACTACATGAGTATAGTTTCATTGTGTCTTATCTAAACAAAGTTTTAATGTAACCGAATGAAATAATGTAGACTTTTGATTGTCTGTAGATTGACCCAATGATTCTTAAAAAGAAATTAAAAAAAAAAAAAATTTTTCTTTCGCTTCACATGTTGAAGTTTTTATAAATTATGCATGTTCTACAGTAAAGTTGTTATGAATATAGTTCTTGCAACTTAAATCTTTGAAGAAAAAGACAATCTTTTTTTAAGTTACTATATACCAGAACAATTCAATTGACGAGTACGACTTCTAACTGAAATCTCGTTATTTCAATATGAATTTAGGTGATTTTTCATGCATCCACATGCTATTTTCTATTTAAGAACTCAATCTCGAATAGATAATATCTTAATAGGTGCTTAATCTTCATGCTATTGTCTTATTTCAAGCACAATAGACAATTCAATGAAAGATTTTCCATAAATAAATGCTATAGAATATCATACCTCAATTTCACGTCGACGGCTAGCACCTTGAATATGAATAGTGCTGTTCAACCATGTTCCATCATATATTGGATAATTAACTTGAAAGAACTCATCATAGTAGCATACATATGAACGGGCAGTACCGGAGCGATGTGAATAACTCGAATCATTTTCTATAGAAATGAGACATTTTCAATAACTTTTTTGCTGGCGATATCTTTCGTCGAATGCATTCATAACCAAAAATGAGTCAGAATTAAATATGATCCACTGTACATATTATGTTTAATTATAACTAATTAATTTGGGCCCTAATTTAAAGATCACAAATTTTTTACTAAATGGTAAGCGAAAAATTGTTCTTTGTCTAAGTAATTTATGGAAATTTTTTTAAGTACGAAAAGAGAAATTTCACGTATGTTTTCGTAAACTGACAAATTTGATTAAGTCAAACACCGAATCACTCAGTTATTGCATTAAGAAAGTTTTAACTGCATTTCGTAGTTGTGCTCACTTTCGTTTTTTTAATGAAAGATATGCTCATAGCTATTGGAAATGGTTTGAAAAATTTCGATCTAATTGCCATATTAATAATATGTTTGCAAATATATTCTTTAAAGAAACTTGAACAATGGCAAAGTTCATTTTTCCATTCTAGCACATTACTTCCTATATACAAAATTGAAGATCTTTAAAACATTGATGTGAGTGTGTTGAATTTTCGAACGAAATACTATTACTTTGCCAAAAATCATGTTGATAATATAGATAGATTGTTGCATCAATTTTCATTGATTTTCTTGTTTGATTGATATTTGTTCTTCTACATCATTAGAAAATATTTTGTCTTTTACCTAATTAAATTTACGTCTGTTGTTTTTTTCTTTTCTTGAGCATCCTGCAATTCTATTATCATTGCGTTGTCAGATTGTGATGAACTTTCATATTATGGAGTCTCTATGAAAGTTGCCATTTGTTAAGTTAAGTGAAGATTGATTTGTTTGATCGACAGTGCATGTCTGTATTTTTCAAGCCACAATTGTAAATATATATATATATACATACAATTGACATAGAAGACATCCAAGGTACTAGGAAAGAAGAATAAGCGAAACAGAAAAACCTGACCTAAGTTCACAGAAACGAACGTTTGAAAAAATGTTTTAAAGCGAGAGAAAAAAGAAAACTATTTATATACAGGGTGTCCCAAAAGTCCGCAGAAAAATAAAATGTGAATAACTCTTCAATAGCTTAATCGATCTTGATGAGCTTTTCATCATTTTATAGGATATTTTCTAAAGTTTTAAT